AATGCTTTTTAAATGAATTACTAGCCTATAGCCAAATTCTATTTTAATCCCTCTTCTCAAGCTATTTTTATATCTTTGATATAAAATCTTTTGAGGGATTTTTTTAAAGATAGCAAAAAATAACGAGTGCATATCTTGGCATTTAATTCATAAAGAAATATAACATCATTGTCCATAACCAAAAATAACATTTCAAAAGAACTATTAAGTTCAAAACACCACTTTATTAATTGTAGATTAATATTAATTAATATTAACTTTAATTACTATTAGTAATATATTTTATTCATAAGTACTTATTAAATTAGCTATCTGTAACTTAACTGATTAATTTATTTTATATATAAAGTCATTATTTTTCTTTAATGAGAAAAGAAAAAAGAAACCACTAAATATTTTGGCCAATTTCATAAGTATTTTCTGAATAAATGGAAAATTGTCTGAACTGCAGAGTAATGTCTCTACTCATCAAACTTCAGGGTGTTACAAAAGAAAACAAAAGGAAAGAAGAGTACACAGCAAAAGGAGAATAAGAGATCTTTCTGAAAATCATCCATATTTTATCAATATAATTTTTACTAGATGTCAAAATAACATGATGTATGGGTGTTGGTGACTTCATTTAATAATGGAGAATAACTTAAATCTTATTCAAATGGTCTATTTTTCTAGGGTCTGCCTAAATGATATGGTAATTTGAACTATCTGTCTAAAATGTACTTGTAAGTTCTTTTCATGTTAATGGCAGAAAGCTCATGTTGAACTCATATTAGAACTGCATTAATTTGTAGTCAGAAAAAGAGAACATTTTAACTTTGATGATCCCCTCTTGGAAAAGAGAAATTAGATATCAGTGACTTGGGTTCTTAAAGAGTAGCTTTATTTATGGGAACTGCAGCAGCCAACTAGCATAAGATTGGATCTACAGAGACTTTCAGAGCCTCTTCCTTCAAGAACCAAAGAAAATGTGCCTCTTCAACCATCTTGTGAGTTTTATAATTTTGTATGGGTTAATCAGCCAAATCTTAAAGGAAAAAAACTGTTGCCACCTGTTCTATCCTTATAACAGTCACCCTTAACTTAAAAGGATGACTGATGATGCTTACAGATGGTTAATTTATAACAGTCTTTCCCAATATGGCACCCCCCCCCATATATGTTGATGTTCAATGTTCAGTTGCTTCTGACACTTCATGAATCAATGAACATCATTTTGACTGCACCATCTGTCAGTAGAACTGTTTTTTTTTAGTTCTTATAGATTCATATTTGTGTTGTCAGTGATAGTATCTAGTGACATTGTATTTTGTGAAGCTTTTTTAGCTGCCTTTGTATTTTCCAAGCTCCAGGATCTTTTCTACTTGCCTTTGCGTTATGTGTCCAAAATAGTTAAGCTTTGGCTTTGTTATTAGTGCCCCAAGTAAGCAGTCTACTTTACATTATGTACAGTAGTATTGAATTATTTGTTCTTGCAGTCCAAGGTATGGTCAGCAATTATTTCTTCCCAGAACATTATAATTATTTTAGCATATATGCAGTTTATCAACATAATAGCAAGACTAATCAATATTATTCCCTGTGATCATAGTTTATTGCTGTGTTTAAAAGCTGAGCTGTTTTCTATATGAAGGGTAATATGGTTAATCTTTTTTGTTTCTTTTCCTTTGTTTTTCCTTTTTAAAATTTCTATTTATTAAAGTAAATAAAAAGAGTGAAAACAATAAGAAAGATGAAATGATATTATTTGATACCGAAATGAAGAAATGGTGGCAGGAAAAATAAAAACTTGTTTAAGGCTGCTTGTACATTATAATTATTAACATTTGTTGGTTCATGCTCTTGTTACAGAAGCTATAAGGTAGGGCTATATCGTTTCCTCCATCAATGAAATGCTCTTTTTAGAAGGTAAGCTGTAGTCTAGTCCTTCATTGGACTAAATGTTATTAAAGCTGTGTTCTGGTGTGAACTTATTTGGTAAGAAGTCCTGAACTGTGCACAAAATAATACATATTCTAATTGCAAAAAATCAGGTGAATGACTTGCTTTGTTCTTGCATAGTATCACAAGTAGCAATAATACAGTGGTACCTTGGTTCACGAACTTAATTCGTTCCGCGACTCTAGTCGCGACCTGAATTGGTCGCGACCCGAATCACATTTTCCCATGAGGTTCAGTGTAAATACGGTTAATCCATTCTGACCCCTCCAAATTTGGTCGCCAACCGATTTTGGTCGCGTCCC